ATCATTAGTCGACATTAGCATATCTATTCCAATAGCAAGTTATCCTGTCAACAACAAAATAGAATAAGTGACGGTGGCATCATTCAAATATAACAATGAACTTTCTAAGAATAATATTGATACTTACGGATTAGATCCATGGTATGACAAATGTTCGAACAAGTATACATCATAACATACTTCTAACTTCTAGTCTTACTAGATATGATTTTCTGGATATTTCTTTGTGCACTTATATAAATACTTATACGGACGCTTCAAATGAAAGAGTATAAACGATGTAGCCATTTCACAGTTAAAATAGTCTAGATTCTTTATAGTATACTTCTCTTGTGATAGAGTAAGAAGACTAGAATAATCTTTTTAGCACCAAATATACAATTTGCCGAACCCATGTCTTTCATCTTTAGAGGTAACCATTTCAAAGTTGTCTCAATATACTCCCTCTCATGCTTAGCCATTATATATATCATCAATATTAAAATTAGAATTACAATCTATCATTAGACATTTACATAAATACAATGATCTTTACCCACGTAATGAAATTTGTATGAGATTTAAGCTCTATTAAAATTCAAGTAACACTGTCGAGATGACTACATTAGGCTACAAGTGTAACTATAAAATTATCACAATACCATAAAAACCTCATCATGAAACCTACAAATCAATTCATATAGATCTTTTCAATCATTTTCTCAATTGAGAATGAAAATATACTCCCTAAGTCTATTTGGTGTAATCTAAACTTAAAATGCACTATCATGGCTAGCATCGGTGTATAGAATATAACTCACTACTAAGAAAAAGGTTTATCTAATTCAATATATTCATATTGAGTATAACCTTTCTTTAAAAAATGAGTCTTATCTATTATAAATTCATTAGTTTTCTGCTTAGTTTTTAAGAACGTAATGTTCTCAATAAACATAATGTTCAATTAGAACTTTCACCATATCTCAAGTTAGATTGGAACTCTATACTCTATATATACTTCCATCGCTTTCTTTAGATTTCTCCACTGATTACATAGTTTTTAGCTCCCACTCAAAATAAAAAAATCATTGAAATTAGATAGTTCTTAGATAGATCCCAATTGAATAGATATCTCCCACTTGGAAACAGATTACTCTAACTTGAATAAGAAGTTTAAACAAACTTTTATTTGTTCAAAACTGATTCATCAATGCATATAATATCAATTTCAATAATATTCTCCAAAAATATTTTCTTATTACGAAAAAATGTCAAATGTTACATTTTGTGACCCAAAATCTCACTCAAGTACTTTTTTGGACTGTCACGTGTATCTCAAAGATACATCTCGCACTCCCAAACTCATTATCGAGAACATATATAGTCGATTATGAGTGTAAGATAACCCATATTTTGTTATCTACAAGTCCAAAACTTTTATATTCTGAAAGTATAATATAGAGAATACTCCATTAAATGACATGCATCACTTAACCTAACCTGTAAATTGAACTCTATTATCTTAAGCCTTATCACATTCAATGTCCATTCTTCTACCCATTAGACCATATAATTATTGGTGATTAAGGAATAATCAATCCAATAAGAATTCTTCTTTCATTTTCTAGATCACTGAACTCTCGTGATAGAGAGTCACATTTTCAAACAGTTCTCAAAATCTTTACTTCCATAATCTAATTTTCTACTCCATTTAAGAAAAGAATATCTATAAAATATCTTCAATTGAAGAAAGTCATAAGCATAATTGAAATGCGTGAATCCATATATAGATACAACGAAAAATGAAGTTCCATCACTATCTCTCATTATCATAGTCAACAGAGAAATTTCAATGGATTTACTCTATGAAAGTTTAATTCCTACAATTTTGAATGGTTTTTCTCAACTCAAAACCTCAAACCATTGCACAAGTATTCATATAACCAACCCAAGATAAGGTCCAATATGTACAGTGTTGACTCGTAAACAACAATAAGAGAAATATACTCAAGTGCAATATCCTTTAGTTTAACTACTTCAAGCTAAGAGATTCAAATCATATGATTTAAAATATTTATAATATTGGTCATCTACCTAAACCACTTACATGTACTTACTATATAATATGTTCTTCTTGGTTTGTTTCCAGTCTCCTCATCTATCCCTCATTTGTTCTAGCTCATTTAATACTTAAGATTCGAAATCCTATGCAAACTAGAACATTACTACGTAAGCATGTCCTTGAGACTTAGCAACATAAAGTCACACATCTTTCAACTCACATGCGGGTAGTGTTAATAAAAAAAAATTAATGCTTTATTTCAAAGTTTTAATATATTGAGAGGACAAATTGAATTTATTACTCATCTAAAAAATGTAACCAACAAAAATATCAATAATATGTTAATCATCTCGACTAAATCACATTCGAGAAAAAGATAATCTATAATGGAACTTAACAATTCAAATGTTCAGACACTAGAATCTATCTTTTCCGTAATTGATAAAGCTCTGATATTTCTTCTCTAAAGTAGTATGACCCACATCAAGTCTACTATTGCCTAGTTGATGTTCTATAAAACATAACATTTTTCCAGTACGCTCAAAATCTCATCATGCCAAATATTATCGCATTTAGTGTATCATCTTTGTTAATGCCAATAATTATAGATTTTGATGCCATGATCTATTAGATTTCAAAGATGTTTTTATTTCTAATCAATGCCTATTTATGCATTTATACAATTTTGTATTAACGCAAATTAATGTATATGATAGTACAACATTAGGCACGGAGTCAAAAGCTCACTATGTTCCTAATCATCATCCGCAGTCCTATTATTTTACTATCATAGACTTAATTTTATAACGTAAAACTCCATGAGCTCTAAGCGAAAATCTCACTCAGTTGGTGAATCAAATAGTTCTAGATGAGATTTTCTCTAAATCTTCCAATCACCGAACTATTACTCAACTGACAATCAATAGATTTAAGAATCTCACTAATTCTACTGATCTTAGCATTCATAACAATTCATGAATTAGTAGATACCATGTAGTTCAATAAGGTAATTCCACAATGTGTAATAAAAGTATAAACATGCACATTTATCCAATTATAACGTATTATGATATCACAAATTAATTCTATCAAAAAATAATTCCAATTATAATCGAAGAATGAAACTCACATAATTTAAGTTTTACTACATATATTCTTAACCCCACTTTAATATCATTTACAATACAATTTCAATCAATGGGAAGTAACATCAGAATTCTCATATTCTGTTTATCACCAAAAATATATACATGTCCCATTAGATCATATTCTAGATCTATTTATTAATTTTAATAAGTACGTAGCTTTTCAACAAATTTCATAATCTTTGCTTTTCTAGCATTCCTTTTAAGGATGCTATAAATATATATATAGAATCAGACATATATGATTAAACACAAAAATTTAAAACAAGTCACAATGAATCACATAACTTAATCAAAGATCTACACAACTCATGAATATAAATAAAATAAAATAAAAAGTGGTATATCAAGTACTTTCAAAGAATTTTTCATTTTCAAAAAAAAAAATGAATAAAAATGAGAACACTTCAAAAAATAACTCCACTAACCAAATACCACTTGACAAATATTCTTGATTTTATGAAAAAAATCAGAATTTAATCAAGTTAAAAAATATTTTTAATGCTTTTTACAAATTTATTTTAATCATTAAATACAATATGTATATATAAACTAATTTAATTATACTGAAAAATCAAGAATAGTTTAGGGATCAATTAGTATTTTTCATAATTGAAATTGGGTCTCGCATGTGCGCTCATGCATGAGATCAATTTGCAATTATTTTTAAATTAATAAAAAGTGAGGTTTCGTTAGTGCCACTACGCAGTCCTCGAAAAAAAATTTCCGATTGGTCATCTGACTAATTTCAACGTACTGTGGAACATCAGCAAATTTGTTCGATAGTGAAAATGACTAATTTACACAATTTTTAGATTTTCAATTAAACTTCAAGAAGTTATAACTTCTTCAGCTGAAGGCCAAAATTAACGAGCCTTATACCATTGAAAAATTATAAAGAAGATCTATTTAACCATACTAAATGGGAATCATGAAACCTAGTATAGAAGATAATATCAATGTGATGAAGTTTCATGTGTTTATCAATTTTCATACAAAAAATAAGATTACCTTCTAATTTTCGAGAGGCCATAACTTCTTCATTTTAAATCCAAAATTTAAGTTCTTCATATGGTCGGAAAGCTCATGGAAATACTTTTCTAAACATATAATCTTACTACATATTGTCAATGTTCAAAAAGTAGTAAATTATCAAAAGATTCCTTAAAAACAACATAAGGTTTGAAAACTTTACATATAGAATTTATAACTCAATTGAATCATGTAGTAACATATTTAAGCGAGAAATATTGCAAGGAATTCAACCTTATGGCTCTGATACTAATGTTAGAATTTGCAGCATGTTTGAACATAAATTTCAAGTAAAGATTCCTTACTTGAATTGGTGAATTTCAAGATTTTTTAAATGATTGTATCACCTTACATTTCAAATTTTCAAATCTACAACTTGTTTGCACTCCAATGATTTCACTCCCGATCACAATGGAAGGAAATTATTTGCAACAACATAATTGCCAAATTTTGTGAGTTTACATATGAATTTCACCATATTTAATAGCCATCTTTTCCCTCTCTTAAGCGCAAGACAAAATTATGGGAATTGTGTAAAATCATTCTGAGAATATACATATTTATACCTTTCTAACTCATTCTGAGAAACTGACACATCGAACTTCCATATATGAGCTATTATCATTTCCACATGAAAAAAATAAAATAAATTCTGTCTACTAATTAAATGATCCACGTGTAGAATAAAACAAATGGAGAGCACAACCTAAAACTAGGTGAAAGATTATTGAAAATGGCCATATAATTTGGTTAGGAAGTTGACAAAATCAAATAAACATCACTTAGTACACAAGCAGTTTTATCATATATGTAAAACAAAATACTGTTTTGCATTCGATATACAAAAATGGAAATTACAGACATCCAATAAGGTTGGAACTTATAATTTATAAGCATTGCACAAGGATCATACTTTTAAGACTAGAGTACTTGGAATTTCAGCTGTGTTTACCTGTGCAGAATAATGCTATACAAAAATTTGTGGCTATGGCTTAGGGAGACTGCCTTAGGAAAAGAATAATTATATGTTGAGAAAAATACACACTAGTCAACAATTTTATCATACGGTTGTCCATCTCAAAGCAGGGATTCCATTCTTTTGAAACCATTCTGGCATATGGAATCTTTCATACAGAATAGGTCTTACGTCCTTTTGCTGAGAAAGATGCTTGAGAAGTGGAAGGATGACTTCCAAAAGCTGAGTGGGGCACATAGAGGAACAATTGAGTTATTAGAGAGGACAGATAGAGTACGAAGCACTTATAATTTTCTCAAGTTATTCCAGGTACCTGTTCGTCGCATGGTTGTCCAGCAGAAAATGGAATGCATGGAATTCCATTCAATGGTTGCAACAAGAAGCTGAATGGGTTGTTATCAACAATAACAACTCGGCTTAGATCCTTTGATATGCATGAAAGGTCTTTCACATGTTCACGATATTCACTGCAAGTTATAAATAGATGAACATAGTGAGTTCACAGTACAGAAAGCGCAGCATGATAGAATATGCATCACAAAACAGTTTAGTGACCAGTTTCTGAAATTATTTTTTATTGACCAGCCATCACTAAATTTTGATGGAAGAAAAAGAAGAAAATACAAATCATAAACTATGCGATTAGTGCAGAAAAAAGGCACAAAAACTACAGTTCTATTTAAATCCTCATGAAAGGAAAGGAATAGCAAAATAAACCCATGCACTAAGAAACCACAGGAAAATAGTACTCAACACTTTGTTGAAGGCTTAAAGATAGTGTAGGATCCTCAGAATTTGGCAAGTGCGCTGCAGATCAGATATAAAAAACACAGGGTTGGAGTTTTTTCTTTGCTTTCTAATTATGAAGCATTCGTGCATTTTAACCTTTCTAATAAGTGCATCCTTGAGTAGGAGTGGGTGAAGTGCACCCTCTGAAAATTTCAATGGATGTAGAAAAACGCGCCATGTGGAGTGGTCAATTTTGTTATGTTGCAATGTCTATCAGGAAAACTCAAACCACCGCCACAAAGTAGGGGTAGCAAAAGGGCCAAGCCGTTTGCTGTATAGGCTCATCTTGGCTTGAACCACGGGCAGCTTGAGCTCATTTTAAGACAAGCCATGGATTGAGCCAAGTTCACTTTTGTTTACATGAGCCTAGTGGGCTCGGTTTGTGAGGCACACGAATCAGCTTGAGGGTTGGCTCATTTATTTTTTACTTACTTTATTATTTAAAAAAAAAAAAAAAAGGATTAAGCCATCTCACGGACGAGCCCATGGGCCGAATCGAGTTCTTATTCTAGATACAAGTCGAGCTTGAATATTTAAAGGTCGAGCCGGCTTGGTTCGATCTATTTGGAAAATGGGCCAAGCCATTTGAGGGCTCCGCTCATCCTTACTCGATCCATGAACAGCACAAGCTAGTTTTGAAATGAATCAATAGACAGAGTCGAGATCACATTTTTTTCACAAGCCAGCTTGCTTGGGCTCGTTGGTACAATCCTGCAAGCTGACTCGTTTGGGGGGCCAACTCTTTTTTTCCTCTTTGGACTTGTTTTATTTAAAAAAATAATAATAATAAATAAAATAAAATAAAATTGAGCCTACTCATGGGCGGTTCAACTCAACCAATGAGGCCCATAAGCCAAAGGGCCAACCGGATCTTAGGATTTGGACACAATCCAAGCCAAGCTTGGGTGTCTACGGGCCAAACAGGCTGTGCTCGACCCATCGCAACCCCTATATTCACATACCAGTGCATCAGTGTTTTGTACAACTGTACTCTTTTACAAATATTTTGTTGACAAAAGTTAAACTAGGTAAATTATGTTAATTTGATTCCTCTTACAAGTGGTAAAATATTTTAGTTAATTCGAAATTAGTGGTCTTGAGAAAAATGTTCACTTTTAAATTTATTTATCTAAAATATTATTTTATATGGCTTGGATCCGTGAATCATTTTTGAATTCCACCATTGAAAAGAAAAGGCAGATAAAATTCCTAATTACAGACAAATAAAATTCTTCAACCCCAAACAACTGCTACCCTGTTCACCACCAAAACCAGTCATCACATCCCCTAGTAATTGAAAATTTTAACAGGACTTCCCTACAACTTAATATCCAGTTGATTAAATTAAGTTAAAATATCTTGTTGTATTGCTTCTATAGTGATCCAATGGTTGTCAATTCTTGGTGATTCTGATGTTAGGTGGACAGCAGAAGTAGGGATTTGTGATTTTGGTGGCAGTGGAAGAGTTAACGAATGTGTTTTCCATTTTATGGCTAATATGATTGCTGCTGTTATGAGATGAAATACATTTGGTGAGGAAGTGATGCGTGAAGCAATCGGTGAAAAGAAGTGGAAAGTAGCAACAGGAATGATAGATAGCGGCCACCAGTAATAGTCTATTGTATTTATTGATGTGAGTGGCATGTCGAAGACATTTCTTTTAAAAAACCAAAAACTTTAACATCTGAGCTGTTAATCTCCAGGAATTTATAGGCCAAAAAAAGTTACAAATTTGTTTAATTTGGTCATCTTACTTCCAGGTTCTAACGGGGAGGAAATTCAACAAAATAAAAGGGCATATTAATATCTGAGCTATACTTACGTACTAATTGTCGAAGGCCGATAAAGTCTATGGGTGAATAAATTGTCAACATCTATTCTGTCAACAAGAGGTCTAGCATATCCTGCAAGAATAAAACAAAGGGAATCCAGAGCAACTGTAAATAAAATCTTCAAAGAAATACAGGTGAAAAGAAGCAACATGGAGTAATGAAAAACCTTCAAGTCCCGCAGTAAATAAGACAAGATCTGCAAATTCACTTAGAAGTTTTAGAAATTCTTTCAGTCCAGGACGTTCAAACACCGTCACATAGTTGATCTTAGGTTTGCCTTCAACATCCTTGGAATCCCACCAAAGAAAACAAATGTGTGAAAGGAAGATAAATATTATATTGATTTTAGACATTTTGCTCAATCATTCATATCTGAAATAAATCATAATTCACCTTGTCAGAAGAGATGCATTCCAGTTCAAACCACTTCAAACCAGCTTCTGTTGCTTGAGCACGTATTATAGCAGGCAAACTCAATGTTTCATATGCACATACCAGAGTTTCGTCCAAGTCAAGAACCACCTGCTTCCAGTACATAGGTGAGACCACAAAGCAATTCGATTTGAATGGAAGCACTTTTAAACAGCAAGGAAATTTAGACTTCCTATGAACAACAAAATGAATACTTAATCAGAACAGACACATTGTCCACCTATTCAACTCGTAGAAATTGACCCAGATTTAGTAACCACTACCTGATCCTTTCTATTTTCTGTTTCAATTTTACACGTAGTATTCTAGTACTGCAAGCATTCAGAATAAGTCTAAATTTTGTCCCTGCCCTCTAATTAAAGTATAGAGAGAAGTGGACGAGACCCAATTCAGAAAAGCACAAAAAATAGACAACAGGAAAGAAAAAGCGAAAAGGTGTGGTGTTGCATGACCGTACACATCACCGTGACCTATAATTCACCGCAATTAAGCTATGCATGAGCAGAATTTTGTCCACCATACAAATCGTTACAACATTATGCATTGAAGCCACATTTACGATCCTGTTGATCCTACACATATGACATATGCTTTCCCGTATAATACATCCAAATGGGTAAAACCACAGTTAACTTAAAGTTTATATAAATTCACAGGCCCTTGGTTAAACTTCATTGTAGAGTGGTTAACATGGTAGTCTTTTTTCTTCCCTGGAATGGCTGCAATAGATAATTAAATAAACAAGAAATTCAAACAAGTAACATTGCCAACATTGGAAGACTGAAATTATCTTCAACCGGAGGCTATCCCCACACTGGAAAACCACAAAATTATGTCAAACACTTAATATGAAATTCTTTTCAAACCCGAACCATCCCAATCCCAAAGAGTAAGTTCGCCAATGTTCTTATATGTTTAAATTAGTTCAATTGGGAACAAGGATATCTTTATCAAATTACTGTGCTTTGGCCATGTGAACAGTAAAGAAAGAAGCAAAACTTCTCCTTGTCTGACTTTATTAAATAATTGAATGAGATCTCAACATCCCCTTTTAATTTTACAGTGGAAATGATAAAAGATCTAATTCTATAAACATATATGAATAGTGAATAATACAACAAACATAGGAGAGAAAGAAGATCTGCGACCCCTGTGGAAGACAAAAGAAAAGAAAGAACAAATCGACATAGTTCAAAGAAGCATTATGCCATGCTTATGTGGGGTCAATTACGTGGAACCTATTCTCCAATTCAACTTAATTCAACACTATTTAGTTCTCTTCAACTAACATTGCACCCACCCATGTCCACTACAATGTCAAGCTCAAGCGAACAAACACCTCCAAAATCAGACAAAACTGATCACTGACTATTAAATACTCCTAAATTTCCAAAAGAACATGTTTCTCTCGATAGTTTACCATCATTTTCGATCAAGAATCTTAAAATAGTAAAATAAACTGAATGACACAGAAATTTAACTCAATCATTTCGACAACTCTAATTCAACCATATAATAACATTTCCACATTCAGTTTCAAGCATGTACACATTCACAAACAAAATCATACTAGTAACTAACTTAACCAGATATTTTTTTAAATCCAATCAAATTCATATCAATTCAAATTTCAAAACCTTAACTCAAAAGAAGAAATTGTTAGCATCTCAAAAGGACTATGAGGTGTCTTTGATGCATTCACGCACAAAAAACCCAACCATTACTTTGGTATTTGTTAGCTCACAACACATGGAGATAGGAAGTCAGTGAATGATTTATGTCATTGTTAAAACGTGTGTTATAACTTTAGCAATTTCCTGCATAGCTCTACAAATCCACAGTGGTGTGAATATTTGAAGGATATATTTCAGCCTCTGTTTGTGAAGAATTTACAAACAGTTTAATTATAAATAGATAGAAATAAGTTATGGATAAGTGGATCATACTTGTGGGTCCACTAGAATGTAGTGTTAAAAATGATGTTTGACCAATTTATAAATGATTTATAATTATAATTTGACAAATAGATTCTTAGCAATGAAAAATACAACTGTTCTTGCTGGTAACATGGAACAAGAATTTTTGTTTGCACACCATACTCAGATTAGTTTAACCAGGAATATATAGAATTAAAAAGATGCTCCAATGTAATGCTGTACTGATAACAATTATGGCCGTGGTCTCTTAGTAATAAACTATCTACACTGGCAACGATGGAGTGCCAATCTGGCCACTTGTAATAATTATACCCTCTCCATTTGAACCATCCCCAATGTAATCCTTCTACACTTTTTCCCATAAACAGAGAATAACATCATCTGATTGCCTCTTTTTCTTAAATAATTGACTCAAAATTTCAACATTTTCCCTTTAATGTTCTACAGTAACCATGAAAAGAACTGAAAATTCTAAATTGAAATTTATGAAGAGTACATGAAAGTTGTGAAGAGAAAAGATGAAGACAAAATTTCCTGAAGACTAAAGTTGATTGTCCATAAAGACAAAGAAAGCAAAAAAGCAAAGTTCTTGTTTCTCTTCCCCTATAATCCCACCTAATTTGCACCAATCTGTGCAATACAGCAGATAAACAGCTCCAAAAGCAAACAAGACTATCCATATTTTTTAGATTATACTCGCAATAAAATAAGCTCCATATTACCAAAAACACACGTATTTTGTGATAATTACCAGCTTTTATATCACAGGAAATTAACTCTAAAACTGTTAAGCACACGGCTAAAAATTATCCGAGCAAATCACCAAGTCAACCTTATACTTACACAGTTATAATTCTAGCTCAAGTTTCCATTTATTTTCGTTTAGTCATATCCGATTAAAATCAAATAAACTAAAATTTCAAACTCATGTTCAAATTATTTTTCACCTTTAGCTTCTCAAAAGGCGGAGCATCTTTCACTCTCCCTCCAACACCGGCGGGAGGTGTACACGGAGTCTCTTGGGATTCGCCTTCAAACTCAGCCAACTCAACTACCGGCAAAGGCTTGAACTGCGGAGGCGCTTGAGGAGTCGAAGAGAGGAAGGAGCTATGGCGCAGGCCAACATAAGAGAGGACCTGAGGGGTGCCTCTGAGGATCTGAGAGAAGATCTGGAAGAAGAAGGCGAGCCAGTTTAATAGCGTTTTCCAGACTTGTATTGTCCGAGGAGGCGGGTAAACTTCAGTGGCCGCCCCCATCTCCGCCATTGTTAATCGATATATTACAATTCAGACGTCAAATATACAAGTGGCTGACATCCGCCAAGAAATTAACTGAAAAAGTGTGCACAAATGGCTAGTTTAGTTCTGTCTAGTTTAGAGAGAGAGCGACGACAAAGGAGTTGTCAAGATGCAGAATTGAGCCACAGCGAAGTCTAGACAGTGGAAGAAAAGAAGTCAGGGAGGGAGAGTACATTGCACGCGTTAAGGATGAGATTGCGGGAGTGAAAATACAAATTAATAAAAATTTATTGATAAATTGCAAATTTTAGTAAATTTTAACCAAAATTGATGAAACATGTGATGAAGATTTATGGATTTCATATAATCTATAATATATTAAAATATCATATTAAGGTAGAATATTTTTTTTAGATGATTTTAATCCCCTACAATTCAATTATTTCAATAGTATTTTACTTATCGTTTAGGGTAAATGGCACAAAACATCATTACCTTTCATTTTTTGACATTTTCGCCCTTACCTTCCACATTTCTTTGCGCTGAATGTCATTTTTACCATTTTTAATGTAAAATGATCAAAATACCCTCCCATTTAAATAAAACCAAATAAAAGAAAAGAAAAATAAAAAAAATTACAATCTTACTCCTAAATGTTTTAAAAAGTGCAAGTGATCCAAATAATTATTAAAATGCCTAATAGCACAAAACGTCCCTACGTTTGGACTATAGTGTGCAAAATGTCCCTACATTTCAAATTGGTGAAAATGACGTTTTCAGCAATGAAACGTGAAAATAAGGATGAAAACGTAGAAAAATTGAAACGTATAGACGTTTTCCACAAAAGTATCAAAAGTAGGGATTTTTTTAGTTATTGGGCCTTATTAAAATATTAAAAATAACAAAAAAAAACACACACATTCTCTCTCTCTCTCTCTCCTCTCTTTTTCTCCAAATGGGACTGCCACATTAGAAATGAAAAAAACTTCGGCCAACCATCGCTCAAACCTTCGAACCTCCATATTCTTGAACCATCTATTGATATTTTAACACCATGAAGAGAGGCTCCCTAGTAAGTTTATTCGTTTAGTGTGTTGAAAATGGCATGGATCTCTCCGGAACAGGTGATGCCGTCAGTATTTGCATTCGCGAGTTAGATATTTTGGCTTGCAATTTCGAACAAATCTATTGGCATGAAAATTTCAAAGTTGGATGTTGGGTGGTATGTGTAGAGAGAAGTGAGAGATTTTTGGTGGTATGGTGGTCCAACAGTTTGGGTGATGGTTTGCTGGAGTTTTTTGGCTTCTAAGGTGGCTGACCCATCTAGAGGGGGGCGAGGGGGAGCGAGAGAGAGAGAGCTTTTGTTATTTTTAATATTTTAATAAAATTTAATAGCAAAAAAATCTCTATGTTTGACACTTCTTGCGGAAAATATCCCTACATTTCAATTTCTTTTCGTTTTCATCCATATTTCCATGTTTCAACGTGAAAAACGTTATTTTCACCAATTTGAAACCTAATGACATTTTGCATGCTATAGGCTAAACGTATGGACGTTTTGTGCTATTAGGCCTTTTAATAATTATTTAAACTCACTTACACTTTTTAAAACATTTAGGAGTAAGATTGTAATTTATTCTTTATTTTCTTATAAGGTTGTAATTTATTCTTTATTTTCTTTATTTTTATTTTTGTTTTATTTAAATAAGAGGGTATATTGGTTATTTTACGTTAAAAATTAGTGAAAAAAATGTTCAACACAAAGAATTGTGGAATGTAATGGCAAAAATGTCAAAAATAAAAGATATGAACATTTTCCACAATAAACTTGAAAGGTAGAGATGTGCCAATTACCCTTTCGTTTTTTATATATAATAAATACTAGATAATTATTATCGTTTATGAAATTTGTACTATTAATTCTCAATTAATTAACATTCACATTAATCTAGATTCAATAAATTTTCACTTGATGAATCTAGAGTTATTATAGATGAATTTATAATAATATTCACGTATCTAAAAATTTTAATGGGTGTTTAAATTTCATATAAGGGAGAATCATTTTTTTGGACAATTTTAACCCCCTACAATTCAATTATTTAAATAATATCTTACTTTTTGTTTTTGGATATGTAATAAATACTACATAATTATTGTCGTTTATGAAATTTGTGTTATTAATTCTCAATTCATTAACATTAACATTAATCTAAATTCAATGAATTTTCACTTGATGAAT